GTCGGGGCGGGCGCAGGACTTGTGCTCGCACACGAGCCGGGCCTCCCGGGTCTTTCTGACCGGTTTCCCACGGGAGAGGGGTCAGTAGCTCCGACCCCCACGAGTTTCGTCGTTATCGGGAGGATGGTGGCCCCGGGTAGAGGATTGGGATCGTCGGTCTCTTCGCGTCCCCGTCCTGGCCCGGGAAACCGGAGGGCTCACGCTCGCCAGTGCTGTGCAGGTCGCTGTTGTCTGCAGGCCGGGAACAATTCTTTCTTCCGATAACACGTGCCTTTGAGAACCCAAAGTCCTGGAACCTCGCGCTAGACATTTGCAATAGTGGCAGCCAGGAGTACAGCACGCAGGGCCCGCGCTGGGGAGGCGCCGAAGCCCGTCCGTAGACCTAGGGGTATGTGAACCCCGAGTTAAGAAGCGGGTTGGAGGGGGCGCAGGCCTCACTGTTTACTAATGTTGACTGGGGCCGAAGTTACCCAAGCAGTTCGAATCACGGCCCTTTTACTGGTTAAAGTGGGACTAGTACTAACTTGCCAGCTCGTGGAGATGAACGAAGCCGTGTAAGGCACTTAGCACATAGTAGGCACTCAGTAAGTGACAGCTAACAGATGGCTGGTGTTATCCAAGGCATGATCATTTAAAATCCAAGAGGCAATTTTAATATCCATAATTGTAAGCCGGCCACTACATGTATTTTGCTCAGCCTTTTAATAGACCGATTTCCTCCCATCGGATTTAATCGTACCCTTGACCTTCACTTGGTCTCTCTCTCTCTCTCTCTCTAGGAACTTGGCTGTAGTGTCCAGCCTCAGAGAAGAACTCATCTCTTGCAGGCCTAGGCTGGGTTGCTGCCTTTGCAAACAAGGTGAGGTTGCAACCAGAACACAGCATGGAATTTCCAGAGCAGTCTCACTTCAAAGCTTTATGAAGAACGAGAACCACATGAACTTCTGCAAGGGATACTGAACTGGCCTGAGTTTGAGGGAAAGGATAATGTGTGCCCAGCCGGTCGCTAACACCAAGGAGATCCGGTGGCAGAAGGTCTTGTATGAGCGACAGCCCTTTCCCGATAACTATGTGGACCGGCGGTTCCTGGAGGAGCTCCGGAAGAACATCTACGCCCGGAAGTACCGATACTGGGCCGTGGTGTTTGAGTCCAGCGTGGTCATCCAGCAGCTGTGCAGCGTCTGTGTGTTTGTGGTCATCTGGTGGTATATGGACGAGGGCCTTCTGGCCCCCCAGTGGCTTTTCGGGACCGGCCTGGCATCTTCCCTGATCGGCTACATCTTGTTTGATCTCATCGATGGAGGTGAGGGCCGGAGGAGGAGTGGGCGGACCCGGTGGGCCGACCTGAAGAGCGCCCTCGTCTTCATCACCTTCACGTACGGGTTTTCGCCGGTACTGAAGACCCTGACGGAGTCCGTCAGCACGGACACCGTCTACGCCATGTCCGTCTTCATGCTCCTGGGCCACCTCATCTTCTTCGACTATGGAGCCAACGCCGCCATCGTGTCCAGCACGTTGTCCTTGAACATGGCCATCTTTGCTTCTGTCTGCCTGGCCTCACGCCTGCCCCGGACCCTGCATGCTTTCATCATGGTGACATTCGCCATCCAGATTTTCGCCCTGTGGCCCATGTTACAGAAGAAGCTGAAGGCGTGTACTCCCCGCAGCTACGTGGGGGTCACACTGCTTTTCGCCTTTTCAGCCTTGGGGGGCCTGCTGTCCATCAGCGCTGTGGGCGCCGTCCTCTTCGCCCTGCTGCTGGTGTCCATCTCCTGTCTCTGCCCTTTCTACCTCATTCGCCTGCAGCTGTTCAAGGAGAACATCCACGGGCCTTGGGACGAGGCTGAGATCAAAGAAGACTTGTCTCGGTTCCTCAGCTAGGTTAGGGACCCCCGTTCCATTCCTGCAGCCTGGCAGGCGGGCCTCCCAGCGAGCTAAGGTCTGAGGCCGGGGTCCATTCTGGAAGCAGCAGACCGATGTGGGTGGGGGAACGGAGGCCAAAGGCTTGGCTGGTGAAGGTGCTCATCCCTTCTGTTATTTGCTGGGTGAGAACTTTCTGGGGCCCTCAGGGGTGACTGCATCCTGTTTATTCACCTTAACAGCTGAAGTGATGTGGTTTCTATTTATTAAAAAATAACAACATATCCATCAAATTGTCTCACGATTTTTCTTTAAGCAAAAGGCAGACAAAGGGGCGTGGAGAATGGAGAGAGAGAGAGAGAGAGAGAGAGAGAGAGTGTGTGTGTGTGTGATGTCACTTCTCTTTTTCCATGTGCTAACACAGGGTCTATTCTCTAGAGCTCAGATCCTGGACGCTTAATGCCATGTCCAGTATTGTTGCATAAAAACAGAACCGGTCACTTAACCTTGACTCAGTTTCTGCTTAGTGAAGCAAGTATTTAAGGAACTGCAAGGGCGTGTGCTCTGTCGTAATACACTAAAGAGGCGACAGATGGTTTGGGCAAGGTGGCAGAGGCCTGTAGGAGCCAGGTCGGCGACATGAGCCAGTGGAACAAGCACAGCTGACTGATGGCTGTGCACCCCGTCCGGTGACAGCTGCTCCTCTGCTCCAGCTGAATGCTTCCAGTCAGAGTTGGGCCTGGCTTCGGACTGCCAGGTAGAACTCTAACTAAAGCCCAGTAACTGTAATTGTGATTTTTAATGTGAAATCCGAGTTGTAGATGCTGCCATTTAAATCGGGCTCGAAACACCCGCATGCAAAACGTGCCTGGCACGTGGGAGCTCTAGCACAGTGCTGGAGAGTGTATGATGGGAGCTCGGGGCTGTGGGGACGTGAGGGAAAGTTGGAGTGGGAGGTCTGGATGTTCAGAAGGTGTCAGAATGTTCAGGAGTTTGGGTTTCCTCCTGCAGGGGACAAGCAGCAGTCCCGCTGATGTAAGGGGGTGGCACATGACCAGATCGTGGCCTAGTTACTTAACTGCCCCATGACTCAGTTTTATCATCTGGAAAGTGGGAATGAAATCTCTGCCTCTGTGATCATGATGATTCAATGAGACACACGCAAAGCACGCTGAAGGAGGCTGGACACAGCACCGCATTCGGGTTAGCCAGTATTACTGTTACCATTAGGAAGACTCGGGGCCAGCGACGGTGCAACACGCATCAGGCCCCTCCCGGAATGGCGGGCCCCTCATGAAATCATTCCAGGGCCAGCTCCTGTACTGTCCCTTGTCACTAGGAATTACCTCTGAGTCAGAAATCTCACTGGGGCAGCAGTATGCCTTAGAAGCAGTTTTCATTTCTCTGAACACATTTCTCAAAGATGTCTTGAACACTGATTTCACCTGGGACTGATAACTAGAAAATCGGAAGGACAAGAATCAAAGGGAAAGGAGGGAGGATCAGAGACTCGGACACCCCCTCCCCAAGCTAGGAGGGAGACTCACGGGGACCGTCACAGCCTCGAGCGCCATCAAGCAGGAGAGCAAATGTGGATCCGCTCAACAAATCACGACTTACGGGAGGAGCGGCCGGCCTCTGAAAATTAAGCAGGGCGAGTTTACAATAAATGATAATTTTACACACTTTTTCCAAGTAATGCCAAGAAGTTCCACACAGGCTAGGAATATAAATGGATTCCAAGAAGATTTGAGGAAAAATGCAAATAAAAAAACTATAAATATTTTGTAAGAAAATGTTGGGAAATCCCAAGCCTTTAAGTGCTGTTCCTTGAAAGATGAAGAGGCTCACTTCCTGCGTGCTTCTCCGGGTGGCTGCTGGCTTGGGGATGGTGGCCGCTGGCATGGGGATGCCGGCCGAGGCGACGATGCTATGACCTAGTGTGACGGTTGGTAGGGAAGTTACTCATCACTGAAGTACAGTGATGCAGCCAGTCTCTTAAATTTAAACCGCACTGAAAGGTTGCAAGTAGGATATTAATGATTCAGATTCCCAGAGGATATGGCGGGGGTGGGGAGGGTGGGTAGGGAGGAGGGGACCACAGTAGCATTGGAATGAAAATCCCAACCTGTCACATATTTGTCTGTGTAAGATGCTGTCCGCTCTCCGCCTCTGCACCCCTTCCTCCCAGCTCTGCTTCCTGTCACTAAGTTACTGGTTAAGGCTGGAGGGTGGTGGTGGCAGAGACAGCAAGAAGGGAAGAATGGAGAGGCAGCTTTCCCCATCCCTCCAGACATGGTCCCAGGGCTTGTGGTCGGGATGGAGGATGAAGGAGCTTCGGGTGTGCTTCATTCGCGGCGTGATGTGGCTGGTAGATGACTGGCATGCAGCCAGAAGGCTGTGCGGGGCGGGATCTGCATGTGATGATCACACACGGTGCTTCTGAGTGGCGATCGGAGTGATGCCAGCGTTAGTGCCTGTCTTCCGTGTTAGTGCCGTAAGCAAGAGCAAGCCTTTGGGCAGCCGGCTTAAACCGTGGGTTTAAGAATTCACGCTGAGCATATTTGAGGAAGCCTTTGGAGCCGTCATTTACACTTTCTAAGCCAAAGGCTCAAGGTCAAGAAAAACCAAAACGAGCCAGCAGAGGGCATCAGTCACACAATTTTACACTCAAACAGATCGAAGGCAGAGTAACAGGCTGGGACACAGCGCCATCTTGTGGAAGTAACTGATATTCCTTTTAGTGATGAAATTTGACAAGCATCTTGGGATTCTTGCTGAATTGTGGTTTGGGAAATAACTGCAGGTCTCCATAAATTCGGGAAATAAATGGCATGCTTGTCTTCGATAAATTATAAGTTCCATTTTTGAGCATCCAGTGTGTACCAGGCACTGTGTTAGACACTTCATGTACATTATCTTAGTTTCTTATCACAATCCTGAAATACGGGTATTATTTTTATCCTAAATTGAGGAGACGACATCTAACAAAACACTTGTTTGTCGAGGCCTATCTCTACTCACCTTTTAGGATGTTCAGCCTCAGAAATTTATTCAACAAATATTTATTAAGCACTAACTATATGACAGATATTGTTTTAAGTGCTTGGGATATATCTATGAATAAAATGGACACAAATGTGTCCATTTGTCCGGATAAAATGGGTTCAAATTGACCTAGCAGAGCTTACGTGCTAGCAGGAGGAGATGGGTAATGAAGATAAGAAGGTGGTAATTAATGCTATGGGAAAAATAAAAAAGAAAAAGCAATGGTATTGAGTAAGGGGTCGGGGTGGGTCTCGTGGAAAAGGTGACATTCAAGCACAGGCTCAAAGGTTAGCGGGGAGGGGGAGGAACCCGGCTCCAGGAAGAAGGGAGAGCTGCTTGAAGGCCCGGAAGAGCCCGAAAGACTAGTTTTTCCATAGTGCTACATGGAGCTTCAAATATACACTCCGTTGGCAGCTGTTGCCCACGCCAGCGGCTCCTCCCTCCTGGACTCCGGGGACTCCTTACGCCTCTCAGGCCCCCTGGCCTGGCGAAGGGGAACTTCGCTCTGTGTCGGGCCCTGGCTCCTGTCTGTGATGTGCACGGAAGCTGTGAGCTGGGCCTGGAAATCGGAACCTGACGTAAAGTGCTGTGAAATTTGATTTGATTAAAAACGGCATGGCGGGGTGGGCTGTTTATAGTCTTGACTTGTTCAACTGCCGCCCCCGAATCTGACCTTAATATGTGGACAGTATTGCGATTCAATAGTAACTTGTAGCATAAAAAACAATCAAGAACGGGTACATGTGATATAGGGGAGGCAGCTGGTGTGTCCCTTTAAATATAGGGGAACACAGAACGCTGCAGTATCATGAACTCTATCTGACTTATTCAGACACGATGACGCTGTAGCGTTATCAAGGGCCGTAGAAGTTTTTTTCTTGGTCAGCAATCTTATCTTCCTGTGGGCGAGGTTTATGTTTTTAAAATGAACTCACAATTGCAGGGTTTACTTCAGAATTTCATGGAACTAAACCAAAGATTCCAGTATCAATTTTGAGTTTTTTAAAAAAAAATAATACTTAATGCTGAGTTATCAAACAGATGTTGGCCAATACAACATTTTTTCAAACTCTAGGATAAAGAGGATCAAAGTATATCACGCCACAAACCCACTGAAAGTGTCCTTGTCGGCAAATGAAGGACAGAAGCTGTTTCCTCATCTTGTTTTGGCCTTCAACTTCTAGGGTGTTTGTGGACACGCCCCCCCCTCCCCCCCAGTGTATATGTTTTGTTTTTTCTTACCTTTAACTCTCTTTTCGCCATCTCCTAGACGTCCTGGGTTTTCCTAGCTGGAGACTGGGGAGACCAGCTCCCCTCACCAGGTCCAGAGGATGTCGGAGGCAGGCACCTTCTGAATCGAAAGCCTTTTCGTTAGCAGCTGAAGCAAAGCTGACAGGTTACTGCAGTTGCCACACCACTGACTTTTTCTCGACCAACGCTTACATGAGTTAGAGCCTCGGATCACACTATTCCAGTAGAAATGAAACGTTTGGTTTCTGATTGGCTAAAATGAGTTCCAATGCTCCTTTCTTTGTCAGAGGTCAAAACTACCACATTCTAGAATGTTAAGGGCATTGGAGCAAGTGGATAATCTGCTTCTAGAACGTCTAGATAACGTCAGCCCGAAGTCTCTAACAGTTCTCCCTGGAAAAACAACCAACATGTCTTCCTCCTATCACAGTGCTGCAACTGCCTCTTTCATTCTGTAGCTGCTTTTATCCTGTCCCTTCTCCTCTGCTCTCAGTAACTCGGACATTGCTACGAATTCAGAAAGATCTGATGCATAAATAAAGGGATGAGGATATTTAAGAAATATTCTTTTTATTAAAGGCATCGTCTGTTCCTGACGACGCTGAGTTATGGTCTGAAGAATGCTGTACTTTTTCAGCAATAGAAAACGGAGGGCGGAGGTGGGGGCAGGAGAGTCGGGGAAGGGTATTTTATGAAATTTAGAAACACTATGAACAGTGAATAAATAGGAGCACCCCTGGGCATGGTTTAATTTTCCCCCAGGCTGCAATTCCTCCCTACCCTACACTTCTTTGCTGAGGACAGGGAACAGGTTCACTCTGCGACGACCGAGCTTTCCTTTCTCACTGGTCATCAGGTCAAGGTAAGTGTCCAAGCCCTCTAAACCGTGTCCCACTGCGCATAAAAAATAAGTTCCGGTTTAAGACAAAGTGCAAAAGTCCCAGCACCTGAAAAGATGAATCGGTGAACACCGTCCGGAAGGCGACCTCTGTTT